GCCCGCCCCTGCCGCGGGGCGGGACTGCCGCGGGTGGGGGGCCGGCCCGGCAATGCGGGGCCTCCGGCCCGTCTTCTCCGGGGGCCGCTGCGAGAGGCATCGGCCGGGCCGGGTCCCGCTGGGCCTGTGCGAAGAGCCGCAGCATTACAGGACTGGCGCCTGGGCCTTGACCTTGCGCCTCCTGCCCCTCCACAGGAGGAAGCCGAGGACTATGCCAAGCTCAGCCCGGAGGAGCAGCAGAAGAGGCTGAGAGGCATCCTGAGGAAGATCGACCTGGACACAGACGGCTTCCTGACAGCAGGTAAGCGCCGGCCTGGAGCTGGCAGGACCGCAAGCACACCCTCTCTCTTTCCACATTGGCACTTGGGTGCCTGCGGTAGCCCCTGGCCAGGCCCCGTGCCTTCACAAGCCAGAGGCTCAGGTGAATGGTCGCCTTCCCAATTCTTCATGGATGTGCCTGGCTCTGCTGCTGCGCCAGTATCTGTAGCAGAGCAGAGGGGAACAGGCCCATCACATTCAGGGCTCCTTTCCTGCAGGCAAGTGTTAAAACGGGCAGTGTGACGTTCATCTTGCTCTGCCACTTGCAGAAAGCCCCAAGGAGCAGAAAAGGCAACCTGTGGATCTGGTCGCAGGAAAGAGGAAGGTGCCAGAAATGGAGGAAGAGGGACAGGCTTAGTTATTTTCTAACAGTCACACAGCTTTCGAGTGGGAGTTAATTTCACCCTTTTTCTTTTTGCTTCCAGCAGTAGTAAGGGACACATAAAGCATTTGGCTAGAATCAATAATGAAAGATAGATGTCTTCACTGCTGGAATCCTCTCCATATAACTTACATTTGCCCTGTTTAGTTTTTAGTTCTGAAGTCAATGACTTCTGATCTTAAGACCTACTTGAATACCTCCCCATAAGCTAGAACTTATTGTTATATGACTGTATATAATGTTACGTTTTATGTCCTTCGTTTCATTCTACCCTGAAAAGCGACCAGAGTGTGGTCTGGCTTCAGTGCCAAAAATAAGTTATTACTTGTCACTGCCTCAGTAAACAAGCCAGGGGGTTTGTGAGTTAGAAACCTATTTCTTAAGTACCTTTTTTATAAAATTACTTTCTTGAGGCCATTTGTGTTACAACTATACAGACTTTTTGAAAGATCCGATTCACCCAAAACTTTTTCATAAAACAAGCAGACACCATCGCTCCACCTAGGACTTCATATGATGTCCCAAAATGTGAGGGCTGCAGTTAAAAACAGGGAGAATGGGAGAAATAAATAATCTAGAGCAGTGGTTCCCAACCCTTTTAGGCTGTGGACCGGAAGTGACCGCAGACCAGCATACTGTAGACCAGAAGTGACCGGCATACTGTGGACCAGCAGCCAGTGCTTGTATAAAAGAAGGGTTGGCTGCCAGTCCACCATATGCTCATCACTTGTGGACTTCTAGTCTGGCAGCCAACCCTCCTATGGACTGGCAGCCAAGCCTTCACGGTCTGGGGGTTGGGATCCTCTGATGTAGAGGGAAAAATATCATAGATACTTGCTAAAAGTCCTAGTTCCACAACTGAATTCACTTCCTGTACCTGCATGGAATCCCTTTGAAGCAAATAAGTGAAGTTCTGGTGTGGCTCAGATACTTGGGTTGGGGCCTAAGGCAAAGCCATTTGATGGTTGCCTCTTCCTCCCTTTCATAGTTTTCTTTACCTTCTCAGTTTTCATAGCAAAGTGATTCATAGATTCATAGACATTAGGGCTGGAAGGGACTTTGAAGATCATTTAGTCCAGCCTCCTGCCCCAGGGGCAGGAAGTCAGCTAGGGTCAAAGGATCCCAGCAAGATAAACATTCAACTGTTTCTTGAATGAGTCCAGAGTAGGTGCCTGCACCACTTCTGGAGGAAGTCTATACCAGGCCTCAGCGGCTCGAACAGTAAAGAAGTTTTTCCTTATGTCCAGCCTGAAATGGTCACAGAGGAGCTTATGACCATTGGTCCTTGTTATCCCTTGGGGCGCTCTGGTGAATAGGCGTTCCCCCAGATCCTAATGCACATCCCTTACATACTTATAGGCAGCTACCAGATCCCCCCTGAGCCTGTGCTTTTCCAAGCTGAAGAGTCCCATGGCTCTCAGCCTCTCGTCATGAGGCCTATTCTCTAGCCCTTTGATCATGCACATGGCTCTCCTCTGGACTCTCTCAAGCTTCTCGACATCCTTCTTGAATTGTGGAGCCCAGAATTGGATGCAGTACTCCAGCAGCTGCAGCCTCACCAAAGCCAAGTACAGCAGAAGGATGACATCCTGGGATTTACTTGAGAAGCATCTATGGATGAAAGCCAGAGTTTTGTTTGATCAGTGTATGGTTTTGGAAGCATTTAAATGGGGTGAAGGAGGAGCATTTGTGGTGAGATGACGAAAGGAGTGTAGCTTGGCATTTGGAATATACAAATTTTGTGGAGCTGGCAGCTAGAAAGAAATCCTTGTACCTAAGAAGTGTATATGTAGTGCATAAAGCATTGAGATTAAATGAATATGGAATTCCCAGTGCTACTTCCATTCACTATTCTAAGTAGAGCTGTACTTGAGCATAATAAGGTGGCTTAACTGCAGTTGCTATAGGAACATAAGTTTTGTATTTAAAGTTAGTGTTTTCATTTTTTTAACCCTAACTACATTAACGTGGCATTATGTCATGCATTGTCTCCATGCTTACAGGGGACAAGGAAAGGAAAAATACTGACTACTTGCCTACCAAAACTAGTATAATAAGTGCACTTATGTTAGTGTTCATGAACATGCTTTATGTTGCAGGAATGCCTCATCTAATAAACAGTTATTTACTAGGTATACAGGTATAGTATAGTATTTTACACTGCACACTAGCAAAGCTCTGTAAAGAAAAGTGTAAAGGAAGAATTTTACACACATTAAAGTGTAAAAATGCCACTCTAATGGTCTCTTATTCTCGCAAAGTGAAACTCAGGTTCTTAGTATGACAATGCCTTCAGCCATAGTTATAATGTTGCTTCTGTGGTACTTACCTTTGGTATTGGATACCTTGGCTCCTTGCAGATGTTTACAAAACAAAACAAAAAACCCAAACCTGTTCTTTACTGGAAGAAGCAGCGTGTTACTTTGACCCGGCTCTGCAGCATTTGTATAAATTGGGTGCTTCAGAGGGGCTTTTTGGCGCTTTTAGCTAAAGCTGATTCAATTGGCTATTAAATAAATGCCTGAAAAGCCCCACTAAAGTGCCTGATCTATACAGATATCAGGTGAGCTGGATCTAGGTAAGGCATTGCCTCTCTTGGGTATGCACTGCACTCAGTGCAGGAGTGTACCAAGTTTAAAGTAAAGCAACAGGTTATTTATTTATTTTAACATGTGTAAGCTGCCTTTATGAGCTACCTACTGGTTTCAGTAGCAGTGCCAAGTTGGAGGTCAAGGCCAGAAGGAATTGTGGTACGTTAAAATTGTTCAGGGCACTAATGTCACAACACCATTGCTGTTGAATGGCAATAGGTTTCGTATGCTTGGGTGTGTGGGTTCTGTGTGCACCAAATACTAGAAAGTAAAACAAGCCATGGAAGTGAAATCATATATGCTTCTCATCAAGGACATCCATGAAGATTGGTTCACAACAAAACTTAACTCCTAAGAGCAATGCTTTTTTTATGGAGTGACTTAATAGGATATGACATACTCAGGTAGCAACTTCTTCAGCATACCAGCTGTAATACTGGCTGCTGCAGTAATAAATTCTGCATTCAAAACTTAATTAACAATTATATAATGCTGTGCCGCTCATGGGAGACACCGTCTCATTCTTCCAACACTCTGCAGTGTTAATAGAAGTAAATAACACAGACTTATTTTGGCATAAAAAACTGCCACAATGTTTTTACATCACAATGCAAATTGGTTGAATAAAAAGATGATGGTTTTACTTTGTCATTTTTCAGAGTAGCAGTACAGTGTAATGTCTGTCTAGGTGTTATGGAGTTTTGAAAACAGTATGATAACCTTGCCAGTTTTCTTTATAATTAGGTTGTTAAGACCATCATTGTAAGAAGAAGAACTTGGCAACACTTGCTAATTTTGTCTGTTTGTTGTGTAATGGCGTGGTCTATGGAAATAATAGCTTGGAGTAGCTTTTAAGTTACAAGACCTGACTTCAGTGGAAGTCTTCTGTTTAATATACAACTTCAGCATATGACAATGGATTCATGTATTATATATTCCCATTTGTGACTTGATTTTCAAAAAGCAAAATATTTATGAATAATATTTAAAATGGTGGAATCTACTTTTGCAAAAGCTATTTTAGAGTGCATATTTTGTGCCCATGCATTGTTCCCTATTATTTTAGCTCTAAAAACAATATAAAATGATCCTCATGAAGTCAGTTTTGAGCTGCTAATTAGTTAGTAAAGTACAACCATAAAGGAAGATTGTAGGATTTTAACTGTGTTTTGATTCTTGTGGTTAGCTGGCTTGGTTGGGTGTGAGAGCACAGGGAAAACCCAAAACAGAGAGTGGATTTGCATACTACACCTACTGCTTTTATTTTTGTGAAAAAAGTTAATGTTTTCATTGAATATGAAGAGATGCATGAGATTTTTACACATTCCAAGACTTAAAATTTAATTATTTAAACTTTTTTAATTGACAGAGAACAAGATATAATAATGGATTTAAATCTATTGTATGGAATTTTTACAGATGAGCTAAGTTCCTGGATCCAAAAGTCTTTTACACATTATGTTATGCAAGAGGCTAAACAACACTTTGTTGTATATGATAAAGATGGGGATGGCTTGGTATCTTGGAAGGAGTACAATATTCAAATGTATGATCACCTAATCGATTTCGATGAGCACACTGTGCTGGAGGATCAAGAAGAAGAATCTTTTCGACAGGTAACATGGCTCACAACCAGTTTTCACAAACTATTGACAAATGCAGTGATGTCGGTTTTGTTAATTATTTTATCCCGTTGATGATTTAAAAACCAGTCTCAGTTTAGTTCCTTGGGATAACTGGGTAATTAAATTAATAAAATAGGTTGGTATTCTCAAAATGGATGAGGGGACATTAACTAGGTGCTGGTTTATATCTTGAATTAGGAGTTGCTATCCTTTAAATTCTGGAATTATGAAAACACTTCACTAGTTAACAGTATCAAGTGCCCTATCCTAGCATTATGGTGATGCATACTATAGAAATAATTAATAAAATTAGTTATATTAATAAGCTATTCTGTAAACAGTTTCAAGTGAAAGTACCACTGGAACAGAAATCACTGGGTAACTGTTGTAGGTAACTGTCATTTAATATATTGTATAACTAATATTGTTAAAGTAGTTGATCTGGTCTTGAATCAGAATTATTTCATTAAGGTTTTTTTATGTTAACTAAAATGACTGTATTTGTTGTATTGTAAGTTGGTCCTGCAGGGCCCTGTGTGTAATGGCTTCAGTCAAGGTAGAGCACATTAAGCACAAAAGGAATTATTTCCTGAATATACCTATACTACCTCTTACTTTGCTTTGTTTTTACTGGTAGAGCATGTAGTTCCTATTATACCCTTTAGCCAATTAATTTCTCCATAAAACAGCTAAACTGATACTAAAAGTGTTGGGAACCTTACTACATAAAAGCTGTGGAAAATGTCACTGCAATATGTTGATTACACTCACTGCCTAGAAGTTAGCTAATTAAGGTGTAATGTATGTTATCATTCACAGGCCTGTCTGTGCTTTGGCTCCCAGTGTTTCTGAGAAATCAGAAAAATTCCCAAGTCTAGACTAGGAGACTGGATCATACAACCTGTTATGGCCACATGTTTATTTACTTTTGTGATTTTTGTCCCTATACCTGGTCTGCCAAGTGTGGCCTTCTGCATTGATGCCTAAGTGACTTACTTTTTGCTGTTCTTTGCCATGAATACCCTGTGCTGAACTCCCATAGTTGCTGGTCTCCCATAGTTTTGATTACTACTACAGTTCTTCACACTAATAAGTATGCAGTTTCCCAACAAGGTCTGTTTTGCATTGTGGTGACATCCACAGGTCCAACAAGAATGTAACACTATGTATGGCAAGCAGGAATAGATAGTCTCTGGTCTCAAGATCATGCAACTCAGACAACAAAAATGACAGGAGAAAGCAATATAACAAAAACAGAAAGCAATATAACAAAAACAGCTTGCAGTTCTTGTTGGTGCCACCATTGGATTTCTGTATGGAGAGACTTAAAGGGCTTGTGTGTGTTCTTTCTTTAATTATGAATGGGTTTTGTTATGGGACAATTAAGTGAATGGATAGGCAAGAGCAGGAGAGGAGTAGGAAGGTAAATGGAGGTAGGCAAGAGGAAAAGAAGGGAGAAGAAAAAGAGGAAGAAACATAGAGGATAAATGGAGTAAGGCAGGGGTTTTCAACTTTTTTTAACAAGTGTATCCCAGGGAGCCAGACAGAACGATGACAGCCCGGGATGGTGGGTGGCAACGGCGGCTGCCATGTGTGAGCTTGCACTCCCAATGTCCGGCCAACACAGCGCCTGTGTGGACCGCAGGGGGGCACTGCTGCCCTCGCTTCCCCCCCCGGCCCTGCTTCTGGGAGGCGGCATGTACCATCAGAAATTAACAGGTGCGCTATGGAATTTTGCTGTGCAATGAGCTGTAATGCGCTACAATAGGTATAAGGTTGGGGAATGCCTTAACAGGCGTGTCATGCAAAAAATTTCTAATGTAAGTGTGCCTTGGGCTAGAAAAGGTTGGGAAACACTGCTCTAAAGCTGTATGGCACCTTCATTGTGTAACTCCTATGCATTGAAACATCATAAGAATGGCATTTTCTTAACAAAATAGTTTTTTGTTCAGTTTAGTTTGAATGTCAGCTTTACAAATAATCTGATTCTTAGCTTACCTTTAGCTATACAGTATAAAGCTATGAATTTCACATCTCCTAAGAAGGATTGGAATGAGCCACTACAATCCATAAGGTTATCTTTTGGCAAAACTTAACCACAGTCCCGCTTTGGCCCTGTAAGGGGGTACTGTGTATTCCAAGATACCATATCCCGAAGAGGAGGGATTCTAATAATTTTCAGCAATTACCATTTTTACTTAAATATAAAATGAGTTTGTTTTTCCCCCAATCATTAAGGGGAAAGGAGGAGCCCCTTGTCTTATGATTACATGCAAGGAAACCTTATTAAATACATTGTCTGTCATTAAACTGCTGCAAAAAGCAACATGTACTCCGGAATGGAAACCAACTATGCAGCTGATTAAAATGTAGCCAACACTGTGCATGACTATAAAACGCAGGACCTAAATTGGACAAACATACTAATAGGAACCTTTTCTTGGGGGGGGTTGCCCTTTTAAAAAAAAAAAGACAGTTGCTACACCAGCTGGCTGCGGGCCTAGAGGTATTGGAATACCAGGCCAGCACTTGGAGAGGCTGGGGCAAGCTCCAATACCCTCACCTGGTGCCAACAATGCTAAAGGGAACCTTTTTTTTTTTCTTTTTTTTGCCCTTAACAAAAACCAAACAAAAAACCAAACAGGTGAGTGTTCCCTCCGGAGGGAACTGGCACTGGGTCTAGAGGTACTGCAGTACCAGGCAGGCACCAGGAGAGGCCAGAGCCTTGGACTCTCCTTGATCTTATCCAAAAGGCAAAGCTGCTGATGGGAACTCAGCACAATGACAGGCTAGTGTAGCCCATATGAATAAGGTATGGTTCCCCTCAGTGCCAGCTTTTCAGTTATCGTGAGCCACTGCACTGAATACAATTCTACTTTCTTTTCATTCTTACAGCTGAGCTGTGCCTTTCTTTCCCATTTCCAATGATTCCTCTTTATTCACCGGCCTTCAATGTCTGGCAAACATCACCAAATGGGGCTCCAAACAGTTCACCCAGAATCCTTCTGTTGCCCCCTCTCTCAGCCTATTGCATATGATAAGTGTGCACCCCCCCCCCCTTCATGAGGGGAAGCTGAACCAGGTTTCCCTACACCTCATCTGCATATCAATTTTTGGAGGATCCCAGGACTCGTGACAAAAACACCCAGTTCCAGTCACGAGTGGCGGGGGCTAATTAGCACATGGATGCTTTGTGGGAAGTATCTTGAGAGTGTGTGCGTGCTGAGCAGTAGAGTCACTATGGCTTGAAATGCTGTTGAGTGTACTGGGGCTTAGCCCAGTAAACTACATGATAAATCATAAGCCTTTATAGTTGTATCTGTCCATCTAAAAATAAATATTGTTGCAAAAAAAAAAATCATCTTACCTGGCAGGGGAGATAACATGATGGTGATGGTCCAGGTAGGTTTACTGTACCTGGCAGGGTTGATCCTTTTCCTCCCAGTCTTGAATGACTTTGTGTAGTTGAGGGTTGAGACCTGTCCATTGTGCTGCAGGTAGGCACCCCTACAAGAGTCTACTATAACCTTCCAATGGGGAATCTCAGTTACACAATTTATGGTAATGGGGGATTACTTTCTGGCTGTTTCCTCTTGCTTGCTCCTATGGCCTTTTGGCTAGGGGCATGCAAGACTAGGGGGCATCTGAACCCCAAGGCTTCAGGCTTGGGGCTTGCATGTAGTATGCCTCCCATGGGTTTGAGAGTATCTGAAGCCCCAGGCTGAAGAGTCTGGGAGATAGGATATTTGCTGGTGGTAGCATCACACAGACTTGAACAACTGAGCTCTGCTTAGTCAACAGAATTCGGAACAGATTTAGCTGATTTGGCCCAAGATACGAAATTTAAAAAAAAAGTCTGTGCTCTATAAAAGTCTGGGTACCTGTAGTCATTTGCATCTAGGCAAATTACTACAGGTATGTTTTGGTATGTCTCTTTCAATATCAAAAGGCAATCAGAACTTGTAGTAGAGATATCTTTTATAGACCCAACAAGATTTTTGCAAAAAAATTCTTTAATTGCTTTAATTTTTTTTGAAAAAATCTTGTTGAGCTAATAAAACATATCATCTCTACCACGAATCCTGATTGCCTTTTCCTCTAGACCAATAGGGCTACAACCTGGATACCTCTTTCAATGTCAGTGTTTTCAAATTTCCCCCTCACTGCCATGTGTTCAGGGAAAACAGGGTCTGACACTAAGGATGGGGAGGAAGAGGCAAGGGGCTGCAGGGGAAAGAAGTTTGGGTGTGGGGGAAGGAAGGGCAGGAGGGCTATCTGACCCTCACCACCGACTTATTTTCCCTGCTGTAACAGTAGCAAATCTCCAACAGTTAGGTTCTATACCTGGAAAATTATTTTTTAAAATTATAATTTTTTCCGTGTATAGAATCTAATTATGTGGCATTGTCTTGTATTTGAGTAAATGTGGTAAATATCCTGCAACAACATTTGTGAGACTAATTCTCAGGTGCAATGTACACTTTCCAATTAAGAGTAGATCCCAGAGTGGATCTACTTCTGATATAAGCATGTTTGCAAACAGGACACTTAACTCACATGCAGGTGCGTGCACATGTTAATGCATCACTGCACAGCAAGGTTACAGGACTCACTGTTTTGCTTTTCAAATCCCTTTTCATTTATTAGTGGTTTAATAAACAATTATGGCAGGCCATATGCTGTATATAGTGCATGTCTTTGCTATGGCATCAATTTTTAAAGCGAAATCCAAAAGTTGTTTTTTTTTTTATTTAAAACCATCAGAAGGTGGCAGAATTGTTCTCTATTCTCCATAAAAAACAAAAAAAGATTATTTTTTTTCCTTAAGTAGTTTATGTCTGTTTTTAAGTCTACTGCTTCATGTAATTAGTGCTATGAATTGTTTCAGTACTTACTCCTTACCCAAGATCAACTTTCCATTCTTTAAATAATTATATTTGAGTAATTATATAAGGTGTTTAAAATTTCTGTTCTATATTTTGCTCTTAGCTTGCCATGAATTGCATACTTTATGGCTCTCAATTAGCCTCATTATAGAGAAGTGCTAGTGATTTGAAGGATGTAGGCGATGAATTAATATCTAGCTTTTTAATAAGCGCAACTTATATTTACACTATCTCTAGTGGCTTGCTGATGCAGGGTTACATATGTTATTAGTCACTGCCCCTGAATAAAGACAACTTTCATCACAGGATTGTGAACCACATTTACTAGCTTTTCTAGGAACAATCCTGGACCTTTCTTTCATTAAAAAGAAAAGAATTGGCTTGTGGAACTGTCCTAGAGATAAATGAAAAAAGAAAATTACATTGAGTTATAAATTATAAAATGCAGAATCAGAAAATACAGACAACTTTCAGACACTAACTTTACTGCCTGTCCTGTACAAACATACACCAATATTCTCACTTGGAGCAGCCTGAACAGAGCAAATCCTCTACAGTGTGTGCAGTTATAATGGGCCTAAATCTTAGCTTATCTTAGAAGTGTAATATGCTTTCTCTAACACCTTTAGGCCCACTATAGCTGCGCACACTGCCAGGTGATGTAAGAGCCTTCCTATAAATGAGACTTGAACCCATTGGGTACAAAATCTTCAAAGGGAAACTTTTAATATTGCAATGGCTACTCCAGTAATAATCGTATCATGCCAGATAGTTTGGGGTTTTGTTCATGTAGCTGACCACGCCCTTGCATTTATTATCTGAAATGGGACTGATGCTTTTTTAAATGAGGAATGTGTGTGAAGAATGATTTTCCTGCTTGTTCTTGTCATGGTTTCCTTGCCATTGAGACTTGGGCTAGGAACATGTTTTAAAAGTGACCTAGGAATCTCAAAAAATTACTTTTTTATATGTTTTTAGTGGTGAGAAAGAGACCCCATGATATTTGCTCTTCTTAAACCATTGTACATAAACGTTTGTGTAACCTCTTCTTGTAAACCTAGAGGAAATGCCGTAATGTTCCTAAGTAATTTATTCCATTATTTTACAGTTCTTACAGATAAGAATTTTTTCCTTTAATTTAGATTATATCTGCTTTGCTATAGTTTGAACAATAAGAAGCAGCTACATAAATAAATTAAAATCAAAAGCACTTCTTTTTACCTCTGAGTAAACAGTGGCAATATAGTCATAATAAGGGTTATGATGTATGTATGCTGGGTTTTTGGTTGTAGCCGTGTTGGTCTAAGGACATAGGCAGGTAAGTTTCTTTAAGTAAATGTGATATCTTTTATTAGACCAACTGAGTATTTGTAAAAAAGTTTTTAGCAAGCTTTCAGGCGCAATCACCCTTCTTCAGGCATAGGGGGGTCTCTGGTCTGAGACTCCAGACCAGCAGAAACTCCCTATGCCAGAAGAAAGGTGATTGTGCCTGAAAGCTTGCTAAGAACTTCTTTCCATTAAAAAAAAAAAGAAAATATCATATTTACTCAAAGAACCTTGCCTGCCAACGTATGTATGCAACATGCACTAACAATATGCATTGTAACTGTAAACCAACTACTTTAGGTGTTGTTTTTCCTACTTCACTAAGTGGTCTAATCTATCTTAAAATGTGTAAGCTTCATTTAAAGGAGAAGAAGCGTTTTGAAAAAGCTGATAGAGATGACATTCCTGGTCTGAGTCTGGATGAATTTGTTGCTTTTGAGCACCCTGAAGAAGCCGAGTATATGATGGTAAGTCGTGGACAGGAGAAAAGCAGGGAAGTGGGGTGGAAATAATTTTGTTCCAAGGCTCATTAGTGATTCTCAGCCAGAGAATCCATGCAAAATTAGCATTCTTAGGTGTGCAAACACTTACACGATTCACAAGTTAAACATAGACATTTGAAATAGGAATCCAAAAACATTGTGATGTGTTATGATCTTTCTATGAGCTTTGCAACAGAAGAATTGTTCTGTAATAAAAAAAAGTGGAAAGCAAAGAATTGATACTGTCCAAGAGCTGTTTAGAATCTAAAAAATGTTGAGAACTGCCAACTTGCTAACGAGATTTTTGGGGCTGATACTGATAGATTTTTAAGGAGGCATATCAGCTAATACCAATCTGATTTCCGATACAGCTGCATGCAGCTGTTAAGTCTGTTGTGGTGAAAGGGGAGGGAGGAGGGAAGGGGTGTGAGGGATAAATCAACACCCCCTGTGGTGAGGGAGGGAGTGGGGCGGGGCAGGGCAGGGCGTGGGATGGAGCCACAGCTCCTCCTGGGGGGGGGCGCAGCTCTTGCTGCTGCATGCACCCCTGGCGGGCATGGGGGGTGCGTGTGCCCCAGATCTGTATGGGGCACAGGCAGGGCAGGCTGCAGCTGTGGGCTGGGACTGGTACTGGGGCAGTACTGAAAGGGGGTTACGGGGGGGCTGCAGCCACCCCAAAAATCACTGTAGCTGCCCCATAGCCCCCCTCCCAGCGCCACCCCTGCATGCCCTGTGCAGATCTGGGGCACACGTCTTCCCCCCATACCCACCCGGAAAAATGTCGGGAGCCACCAAATGAGCAGGCGAGCTGCCAAATAAGCTGCACACAGTGACAGGAGCTGCCCTCCCCTTCCCATGGCCCCCAGATAAGCCACAGCTCTGTTCCTCCCCCC